AGAACTGTAACAGTCCAGAATTTATAATCACCTCAGCGACGTTACTGATGCATGCAATTTTACCAATGGATCTTAACAATGATTACATCCCTCTCCAGGCAGCAAGAATATATATGCTAGCCACTTAATTACACATTTCATACATCATAGCCAATCCAAGATATGTACATTGGATTTAGCCGGGGTGGGGGGGCGCAGGGGGGCGCGGGGCGCGAAGGTCTCTTCCATCTGTTGAAGAAACCAACAGGTGAGCTCTGCATAGCTTTTCTCCAAGAGGTCAAATGCTATTACATTCAAACCAAGCACTTGATTGGACAGTAATGGACCTCCTGTACTATTAAGCCCTCAACAGCCTGAAAATTCTGCTCTTGAGCTTGCAGTTAATCACAGGCCAGCAGTGGCACCAGCTACTGGGGCATTCACCAAGGATCAATTAAGGGATTCTTAGAGATAAGTGAGTGTAGACGAAAATAGGGTCGTGATAAATGGTGACTCCATTGAGGGTGTCGGGGGTTGGATGCAAGGGCAGAGTGAGGTCTCTTGAGTGATTGAACCCACCGACCAACTTCCTTGTGGATGCTATGTTCCTCAATTAGGTTCCAATTATCCATGCATGAGGAGCTCTCTGGAAGGCCCCTGGCAAAAATCCCCACTCAGATTTGATCGGTGTGAGGTGGTAGGATCTCCAACACTTTTCCTGTTGTCTGATCAGATGTTCCACATTCAACTTCCCAAATCTCCCAGGGTGGAGCCATTAAATTCCACATGTGCTTCCGGTTCAAAAGAAACAGTTAACATCACAAGACTTCCTGATACATAAAGAATTTCCTGCAGGATCACAGTGACTGAAGTTGAAGCTCTGATGCTTTTCTTTGTTAAAAGTCACATGACACAATTCCAATCAGCTGAGCCAGTGGACAAGTGCTGGTTTTAACATTACTTGAAAGAGAGCACCTTCAGTACTATACTGGAGTGACTGGGTAGATTCTTGGTGCTTCAGCCATGGAGTGGTCCTTGAAACCAGAACCTTATTTTTTTTCAAGTATTGATTTTTTTTTTAATTGACCTGTTCAGAGATGTTATTACATGCCTCTAAAGTAGGTAGAACCTGAATTTTTTAGCCCAGAAATAGGGACACTATCACTGCACCACTAGAACCCTTACCTTGGAGGTGAGAGTGCTACTGACTGAGCCGTGACTGAGGCAAATTGTCACGTTGGAGAGAAATTGTAGCATTAGTTTCAAAATGCAGAATTGCTCGGAATCTGTTTCTATCTGAGAATCTCCATCTTATTTCATACGTGGACCGCATACTTGTGACATGTGCTGGAACAGTATAGTGCTCGTCAGACTCAGGCACAGTTCTGGGCATCTGCCGCTGAAGTGTTGCCAGGGAAACCGCATGTGCCAGGAAGCAGCCAACCACAGAGCCCATACCACATCTGAGTTACCCCATTGGAACCAGGAGTAGCAGGACCCTGCTGGGATGAAATGCTAGTGCAAGGATATGTGCTCGGAATTGTGGCGGAATCAGTACTTTACAAATGATCTCGTGTGTTAAATACTGTCTGCAGTTTGAAGGGAAAAGAATTGCCTTTTAACAGGCTGATAGTGTTCAGTGTTGCGTTAAAAATTGGACACCATGTGCGAGAATGCATTTGGCCTTTACCGTCTCTGCATGACTCCATGCATTGAAATGGATGAATACTTTACAGGGGTTAAAAGAACACACCTTAAGAAACAGCAACGGAGCATTAAATAATGAATGATTGTTCCATACTTCCCATTTTTGTCTAACAGTACCCTGTAGAAATGTCATATAATTATGATTAATTTGCACCTAGTCTGTACAGATTGTGAAGCAACTGATGCTGATCTACAAATATATTTCACAAATTTGTATTCTTATCCTCTAAACTAAAGTTTTATTTTATTGGCTTTCATTTTAGGAAGTAGGTTTCATGAATTTAATAATATTTGCATTTATTTGACACACAGAATTCAAAATGTCCTGAGTATTTTACGCAATGAATTACCATGAAGTGCATTAATTTAAATGGAATTATGTTCACATAATGGCATATTACAATTGTTAGTTCTCCGTTTAATCTATTCGTTTGGGTTTCTTAAATGTAAGTAATGGCTCAGTTGGCTGGATGGTTGGTTTGCGATACACAGTGATACCAACAGCGTGAATACATTTCCATTTCCATTATAAGCATGGCAGGAAACTATTAAGGACCTCCCTCTCCCCTCACCTGTTGCATGGTGATCCCCAGGTTAAATCATCACCGGTTGTCTCTCTGTAATGAATGAGCAGCCCTATCGTCCAGTAGGACCATGGTGGCTTTATTAGACACCTAATGACTTGGAGATTAAGGTATATTTTGAAAACGACCATGCTGTTTCCACTGATGTTGAGAAAGCTTCCTTATGTCATCATATTTTGTCACATTTGTGTTTCCTTGTGTTTCATCCTTGTTCATTTTACGTTCCTTTGCCCACGCATTGTAACTCAACTTTACATTGGTGATGCTGTAGCACCTCAGCTTTACATCTTATAGAAGACCTCAGCCTGTATAAAAGGAAAACACCTGAACTCCAACAAACTCTACCTCTCATGGTGTTGTAAGTTTTACTATTCAACTGTCAAGCTTGCAAAATTAACAGTATTTTTTAAGTGAGGATCAATTTTAACATAAGGATTGAATAATCTATGCATTCCATAGTCTGTTTCTAATCTCACTTCATTGAATACTGCATTCATTTTCACTAATGGCAATCCCAGAATCGTACAATCCTCACATTGTGGAAGCAGGCCATTCGGCCCATCAAGTCGACACTGACCCTCCATCAAGACCCACCACCCCCTATCCTATCCCTCTAACCCTTCATTTCCCTTCAACACTTGCAATCCACCTAGCCTGCACATCCCTGGACACTATGGGCAATTTAGCATGGCCAGTCCGTCTAACCTACACATCTTGAGACTCTGGGAGGAAACCAGAGCATCTGGAGGAAGCCCAAACAGACACAGAAAATGTGCAAACTCCACACGCACAGACAGTCGCTGAGGGTGGAATCGAACCCAGATCTCTGGTGCTACGAGGCAGCAGTGCTAACCACTGAGCCATCACGCCACCCAAAAATAGTCTCCAAACAAAAAGGAAAACAAACCTGGAAATGGAAAACAGTGGAAAAGTTAGAATTTCCATCAACATGGGCTAAGAGAAATAACCAATTTGTGTTTTAAAGACATAATTGGAACTGAAAGGGAAGAAATTAATATGGGGCACAGAAAAGGGTGAAAAATAAGGATAACTTCCAGAGAGATTGGAATTTGAAAAAGTTTTGGACCTTTTTCCTTACATGGACTATTGCATTTTTTTTCAATTTGTATTGTGGATTTAATTATAGTATCAGGCCCATAAATATATGCCAACGCTGACTCAGGAGGAGCGTCAGGATCATTTATAGATGAGCCAGTTTTTGGCAATCTGTCCAAAATAATGAACGGAGTAACTTTTCTGATTAGTTGGCTAATTCCTTTGCAACTACATTGGCTTCTACCCCCATAGAATTAAGGGGAGGGATCAACTCTCACACATTTCATTGTTAATGTGATGTAAATTTAAACTTGACACCTACCTCGTGGAGTGGTTGAGGCAAAAAAATATAGGTGCACTTAAGGGGAAACAAGCCAGGCACATGAGGAAGATTGTAAATATGTTGATAGAATGTTATAAAATGGCAAGAGGCTGAGGTGGGGCATAATTACCAGTTTCCCTGTATGGCTAAATGGCTGTTTCTGTGCTGTGAACTTCTGTGAGCAAATGAATTAATAACTATAATATAACATTTACAGGAGAAATTATATTACCTGATTCCTCCAAAAGCACAATCATAAAGGGTTGCATGTATGACTATAAATAAGAAATTCATCTGAGTTTCCAATTTGTTTTGTAGAGGTGTATTCTTCATAAATTTCTCACCGCTGCAGAGTTAGTGTGACATGATTCTTGGAAATTGCAATTGACTTCAGCTCAGCAAGCTATTTGTATATTCCATAGCAGACTTTGATTTGAGTAACTGACTTTCAGGTATCTATGAATCTGCTTTATCACATAAATAGCTGAAGAAAGTGCAAAATGATTTGTCGTTTTTGAATGTGGTTTGGCTACCCCCAACCCTTCCTCGATTTGTTTGAACAATTTCAGATATTTGTGCTAAACCAAGTTGGGGCTTAAAATTAAAATGTATTGTAGATGGTTTTTAAGCTCTTTTGTACATTGAAACTGGATTTAAAGGGATAGCCATCGAGCAAAATCGAGATAAAAATGTTTATTTCCACAGGCTTTCCCATAGCTTATTCACACCTTAGCTTTTCTTAAATTCAGTTATGGGATAAGTGTGTCATTGGCTGGGCCAGCATTTATTGCCCATTCCTAATTGCCTAGATGTCAGTAGAGAGACAACCATATTTCATGGGTTCTAGAGTCACATGTGACCAGACCGGGCAAGGATGGCAGACTTATTCCCTAAAGGACGTTAGTGAGCCAGATGGGATTGTACGACAAGCAACAGTGAGTACGTGGTCATAATTTAAACAAGTATTTTACTCCATATTTCTATTTTATTGAATTTACATTTTGCCATCTGCCATGGTGGGCCTTGAACTGTTCTTTGAATAGCTTTGCTAAGATGATTTTATGTATCATTTTATATATGTTTTCTACTTTTCTTAAAAAGTTCTGTGGACTATTCAATCCATTAACAATTTTTACAGTTGGAATCTTAAAGCATTTACTCAGTTTTTGAGTTTTGTATAGTTTTAAGGAACTGTTTTTAGACTGACAAATGATTTTTAACCTGTTTTATTTCTCTTTACAAATGACAATGGAGCAGCTCTGCATTACCAACATTTTCTGCTGTTGTATGTCCTTTTTCTGCTAAGTTTTGTACTGCTCAAATTTGATAATTTCCTTTTCTTTCCATTCCAGAGTTTTCTGAAAAGTGATCGCGTGGCCAGGATGGTTCACAGCGGAGGGTGCTCTGCAAATGACTTTCGAGATGTCTTTAAAAAGAACATTGAAAAGCGAGTGCGCAGTTTGCCAGAGATCGATGGCCTTAGCAAGGAGACGGTGCTCAGTTCCTGGATGGCCAAGTTTGATGCTATTTACAGAGGAGAGGAAGATCTGCGCAGTAAGCCTGCTCGGATGGCTATGAGTGCAGTGTCGGAGCTCATTCTTAGCAAGGAGCAACTGTATGAAATGTTCCAGCAGATCCTTGGGATTAAGAAAATTGAGCATCAATTGCTTTATAATGCCTGCCAGGTAAGCTGCTGAACGAGGTTTTCATTATTGACCTTAAAAAGCGTGGTAGTAACTTCATCTAAAAATAATGTAGCCCAGTTTTACATCTTTATATAATTTCTGTTAGATTGATGTTGTTACTCCTTTACAATGCACATAAAGGGTATTACAGTTCATTAAAGTTAAGGTTCACGTCACTGCAATCTGATTGTCTAATATTACTTTCTTCCAGGTATGGTGAAAGTAAACAAATTGTTCGTAATAGGATTATTATTTTTAAACATCTTTTGTGATCTCGTGCCACGCTGGAATGTCTTGCAGTTAATAAAGTACTTTCGAAGCATGGTCACTATTGTTATGCAGCTATCTGCTTCTCCACAGCTAGGTCTCACAAAAAAAATGGGAAAAATGACTAGGTAAAGTACTTCAGTGATGTTACTTCAGGGCTAAGCATTGACTAGGGCACTTGTAGAGGCATTCGGCTCTTCTCTGATATTGTGCAATATGATCTTTTATGCGCACCTGACCAGACAGAGAGCACCTTAGTTTATAATCTCACTCAATGAAAAGGACTTCAAAAGGGAGCAACACTTCAGCCTGTGCTGCAACGAATCTGCCTGCTGCCAGAGTTGAATCTCTCCGAGGTTGGGCTGTGCAAGACAGGGAGTGCAGAGACCAGCACATCAGTTGTATTAGAACTCAGTAAAGGAACCCCTTGAGTATGAATTTGCCTCTGATTTAACAGGAACGTGAGTTGCTGTTGCGCTTTTTAGAGGTGGATGGGAGCATATTGTGAGACTGTGATGACGGCAAGGACAACAATATATTCTGGCCAGCAGTTGCCTTTAAAATAATGCTTTGGATTTTATTTTCTTGCAATCTGGAGATTCCAAAGTCCAGTAATGACATACTACCCTGCCATTTCTGGGAGGTGAGATAAGCGTGTAATAAAATGACTTTAAATCTCAGAACTCCAGCTTTGGCGATGGGTCAGGTCATAATGCCCTGGAAGTCTGCATTATTTGTTTATTCCAAAGTGATTTTGTTGCCAGCATTGAATCTCATAACAATTTGTTCTGGTTGACAGGAGATTGAACTGCATGATTTGAAGTGGTGCACTTTTGTATCATGTGAACATTTTTAACTCTGCCAAGTGTAAATCAATCCCGGAACTGGCATTGTTATCGTCCTTTGGATTACGGGCACTAATACAGCATCAAATTATGAGCAGTTCTTTCGCTGTTCTGTAGTTCCCATCATTTGGACTCTCGATTTGAGTTTCTTGAATTTGTTTTATCTGGATCCTTCGGAGTGGAGTGATGCTACTTCTGGTTCCAGCCAGAAAAGACCAGCTGTTTGTCAGTTTAGTGAGACAACTAGCGGAAATCAGATGTATAGATTCATCACCAGCAGTCTGTATAATGATGAATGTTTGACTCATTCAGTGAAATACTTGAAGTTGATGTCTTAAGGCTCCCTTAAGGATAGCCATATGTGCAGGAAATGCATCATCAATCCCCTCCCCTCCATCATAAGGTCAGAAATGGGAATGTTCACCTTTGATTGCACAATATTCAGCAGCTTTTGTGACTCCTCAGATACTGATGCAGTCCATGTTCAACAGTAGCAAAGCCTGGACAATATACATGTTTGGGCTGTCAAGTGGCAAATAACATTGATGCAGCACAGTGCCAGGCAATGACCGTCTCCAACGAGAGAATCTAACCATCACCTCTTGACATTCAATGGCATAACCATCACTGAAACTGCCACTGTCAGCTTCCTGGAGGTTGTCATTGTAAGAAACTGACCTGGACTTGTCACATAAATACAGTAGCGAAAAGAGCAGGTCAGATCTAGGAATCTTGTGATGAATAATCCATTTCTGAAGTCCCTAGAGCTTGTCCACTGTTTACAAGTTACAAGTCAGGAGTGTGATGGAACACACTCCACTTCTCTGGATGAGTTTAGCTCCAACAATACTCAAGAAGTTTGACACCATTCAAGACTGCCTGCTTGATAGGAACCACATCCACAACCATTCACTGTCTTCATCACGATGCTTAATAGCAGCAGTATGCACCAACTCCAAAACATGCTGCAAAAATGCGCCGTGGCTCCTCGGACAGCCCGAGGAGACAACCAACAATCACTGTCATCTCGAAAGAGAATGGCAGCTGGTGTATTGGAACACCATCATCTGCCAATTCCCCACTAAACCATACGCTATCCTGACTTGGAAATATATTGTCATTCCTTCAGTGCTGCTGGGTCACAATCCTGGAATGCCTCCTCTCAATGGCACTGTGGATCTTCCTACAACATACGGACTGCTGTGATTCAAAAAGGCAGCTCAGCACCACCTCTCACCACCAATTGAAATGGGCAATAATTGCTGACCCAGCCAGCAAAGCCTGCATTCCAGGAATGAATAAAGAGAAAAGACTGAGTGATAGAATGAACAGACAAATGGCCGATGAAATTTAATGCAGACAAGTGTGAAGTAAGTCATTTTGGTAAGAGGAATGCGTGAGAGAATATAAACTAAAGAGTACAATTCTAAAAGGAGTGCAGGAGCAGAGATACCAACTCATGTACAAATCATTGAAAGAGGACGTTAATTTGAGAGAATATGGCATCTTGGATTTTATCAATAATGGCATGGAAGCAAAAGCAACAAAGTTCTGTTAAATCTATATAAAACAATAGTTTGTTGTCACCTGGTGTATAGTGCCCAGTTCTGAATGTCACACTATATGAAGGATGTGAAGGTATTAGTGACGGTTTTACAAGAATAGTTCCAGGGACAACAAACATCAGTCGTGTCAAAAGATTGGTGAACTTGAGTTTGTTCTCCTTGGACAAGAAAGAGTTGAGAGAATATGATTGAGTTACTGACAATCATGAGCAACCTGGAAAGACTACATGGAGTAAACTAATCCCAATGGAAAGATCAAAAATCAGAGGACAAAGGTTTCTGGTAATTGGTGAAAGAAGAAATGGTGAAATGAGAGAAAAGCTTTTCAGGCAGTGAGTAGTTAAGATTTGAAATATACTTCTGAGACTGTGATGGATGTAGGTTCAATTGAGGAATTCAAAAAGGAATTGGATCACTATCCAGAAGGAAACATTTGCTGGTCTTTGGAGTGATGAGACAGGCAGGAGAGTGGCACTAAATCAGTTGCTTCTTCAGATGGCCAACATAGATATGGAGGGCCAGATGGCCACCTCCCTGTGCTGTAACCATTCTATGATTCCAAAGTATCAGTTATGTTCCTTGGATACATTTGCATCCCAGCAATATTGATGAGTGCACCTTGGAAATTAATGTAGCCCCAGACCATAATTTACAATCCATTTGATATTAATTATAATTCTCAACTCCTGAATTATCACGTTTCCTTACCTTTTGTCTGCTTTATACCCTGAATGTGTGAATTTCCGAATTGTTAGCTTTTTAAAAATTTCCTCATTGAATTTCAGCCTGCCCTTTTTCAGTCCCTTGCTCTTTCCTTAACTTTCCCTGTACCTCTAAAAGAAATATTCACCATAGGAACCGTAAGTAAGGTGCAGTGAAATTCACATCAACATAATACTGGTAGAGTGCGTTGGTACCAGTCATGTCATCTTTATTTTGAGATGTCACACTCGAGGTTTAAAATCCTATAACAGCATTTAGGAAAATGCATCGACTTTTCCCTTATCCTGATTAATTTCATCAAGGTGAACTAACAAAAAGTCAGATTAATTCCTTATACATCATCTCATGAAACTATATGGAATCTTGTTTTGTGAATATTGACTCATGTTTACATACATAACATTAGTGACTGCTTTGGGATGCAATGATGTGATAGAGAAGATCCAAACTTCTAAAGAGAAGATTGAAAGGATTATATTGTGTTTGAGGGGATGAAAGATTTTCACGCGGTGGATAGGTAAAGTTTATTTTTTCCTGGCTGGTAAATCACTAACCAGAGACATAATTCAATGTTACAGCTTCAAAAAATATCACTAAAACATGCAGTGTTATTTGTTTCAAGTGACAACAATTGCAGAGACAATAGCATTTCTTAAAACAAATTAGATTATTTCAACAGTAAGAGTGGGATTAGAATAGATAGCAATTTATATTCCATTGATTGAAAAGGACAAATGGTTTCCTTCTGCAGTGTAATTTCAATAATTGCTTGAGGAATATATTTTTCAAGTTATTGCTTTTGACTTTCTTCTCTTGCATTCTCTGTCAAAGTATTATTCATTGAACATTAAGTAGCAACTTTACTGATGAGCTATCTAACTAATGCTAGAAACCTGACATGGTCCATTCAATTTTTTGCTCTCACCCTTTGCATCAATTAGATAAAGAATTCCCTGTCCTAGTTTTCAACCTCATAGCTTTCACATTCAATGGAACACACTTCATTTTTAATAGCTTTAGTATAAAGCCATTATCCAATTCATCACTTTTAACCCTTTTCAGCACTCCTGAGGGACTGTCTCCTGTTCCATTCTGATCCACTCTTCCATTACCCTCACAAGCATGACCTCAAAATCCTGTCCCTATTTATATTCTCAATTCTACTCTCACTCTGACCATGGCCTACGATACTATTTCAATGCTACTTGAAGCAAATGTGAGGACTGTTCCTCATCGTACAAGGAATACTATTTAATACACATTACAACTTTTTGAATTTGAAATTGAGCTCACCAATCTTAACAATTCCCTAACCTCACTCGGACAATGGTTGCTAATAATGATTTTGCTCAGCCATTTACGGATCTCTACAGCCATCTTTTATTGTATGTTAGGTGCATTAGCCATGGGGAATGTGGGGGAGGTTGGTGGGTCTGGGTGGGATGCTCTTTGGTGAGTTGGTGTGGACCTTTTGGGCCGAATGGCCTGTTTCCACACTGTGAGGAATCTATAAAAAAATGCCTTAATGAATGAGCACTTACTTCAGCTATTCTTGCCTTTCTGCATGAATTTATTGTTTGCAGCTCATTGTCTCATAATT